AGTTAGTTGTAAATTTGCCTTATTATAGATTATATATAAAAATATTTTGCTAAAATTTTGTTTTTCTTTCATTAAATAGAGAGGAGCTGCCAACTTATTTTTCTTTATTTAATCATTTAATTTCATCATTTTAAAGTGTTTATTGTAAGAAAAAAAAAAGTGTTTCTTTTAATAAATATATATATAGAAAAATGACTTAAGTAATAAGTATAAGATAAATAACTAGACTTTATATAACAGAAAAAATCCCTTGATTGAATTTCACTGTTTCTAGAAGGCTGCACTTTTTAAAGGTTTCCTCATATCAACCATAGATTTAGTGAGAGTGGGAATGGAAATCTATTAAAGTGGACAGGTTAAACAACCAATTGCTGGATCGTGACCATTACCTTATTGTTCTATTGACCCTCTATAGCGTAGATAAGGAACACGATGAGGCCATCTTCTTCTATTTTTAATAGGGTTTCTTTAATTAAATCTACTATGGTAAAGTTACCTATTCTCCTCTAACATACCTAATTTGTTTTTTTTCAATTATAATAAGCTTTACTTTATCAGTATGAAGTTATAATAAAGATACATCGATAAGCATCATCCCAATTAAATTTTCAATATCATCAGAAGCAAAAATTCTATGGAGAGAATGATAACAGGACTCATTAATATACGAAAGGGATTTATAATCTAAATACGGTAACTTTTTTTAGAAGAAGAACTAAAGGTTAATTTTATTTATAAATTTTAATGATAAATCTATAGTTTTATAAATGATTTAAATTATGTTTTTACTCATTTTAAAAGCTTTAATTATAGCATTATTTTGAATTCGTTTAAAGAGTATACAGAACTTTTTAAAATTATAATAAACATATTTTATCTGTAAAAGGAATCAAATAAATAAATAAACTGTAATATAAAACAGCATCAAATAATGCATATTTGATGAAGTTTTCTTTAAGAGAATTTTGAAAAAATGTCAATATAAAAGAAAAGGACTGAGAAGATGAATTAAAATGGGAAAAAAAGAAGAAGAGAACAATAAGAAAATTGAGATTAAACGGAAATCCGAGGATGTGGACGTGATAGCAATAGGGATGAAAGAAATGCAGGAGTTTCTTATCTTTCGCCATATTGAATGACCACCATCTAGTATCACAGGATTACAATACCGTTCCTTTCACTCAGATTAATAGAGGTGGAAACGAAATTCTTAATGGATATGTGCTTCTACTAAAGAAGAATAACATCAAACTTTCTAAGAACAATATACTATACAACGGCTTATATATTTGTTATATTTTAATTTCTATTTTTCAATATATTTCTTTTACTTTTTATACGATACTTACTGAAACCTGAGCCGAAGAAAGTTCCGATTCGACATCATTTTTATATCTTAAATGATAGCTAATATTGTATAAAATTCATATTTTTGTGTCAAATTATAATTTACATTGATAAGAATTACTCTAATTTAGTTTTAATATGTCTAGAATTTTTAAATTGTTATTTATAGGCATGTAATAAGTTTTCAAGTGTAATATTTTATTTAAAAATTTAATTCTGAAAATCAATGTACTAAAAAATTAAAATTTTATTAATAAATTAGATATTTATTATTGATAATTATATTTTATTTACGAAAAAAAATATATAGGCCTATATCTAGTTAATTTTTTCCTGTTTTCGCAGTCAAAATTGCGTGTAATGTGTTAATTTTTAAATAGGTTATAATGTACTTAATAACAATTTATCAAAAATAAAAATTTGCTGATTTAGAACTTCTAAAAGCTTATTAAAAAAAATAAATAAAAATTAATTTCTGAGTACAAAAATTGATTTTCTAAGTTAAATTCTTGTGGCACCATCTTTTGGTTGCAATTGAAAATAAAAGTTAGAAATTTAAATTATTTTATCGTCTTTCTTATTAAACCATTTACGTATTTACACGTTTTATTGTTATTTTTAAAGTAATAATAATATTATTAATAAAAAACTATATTAATGTCGTAATCAGTTTAACTATTCATGTATGTTATGTATTAAATTACCATACCAGTTTATAAAAGATTTATAAATTAAGTTGAAAATTAAAACTTTTGGGTAAAAATTCCAGTTTCCATGCGATATTTTCTGTAAGTAGGTTTTTATAGATCAAATAAATCGATTAAATCTTGTTTTATCCAATTTATGATATAATTTTCTATAGTTAAAAATAATTATTACACTACAAATAGCTATTAATTCTTTACTTAAGCTTGTAAATTCCATCTTTAATAGAACAAATTAATTGTTTTGAATGTTTTATTCGGAATACTAATTTCCGTATTATCTTCAATGGCAGAGAATTATCATGATGAAACATTTTCAACTGAATAGATTTATATTCTGATGTAATTACAGAATTATTTTAAAATAACTTGGCATTGTTAAAATATGTCTCAAAAGAAGATTAAGAATGTCGCTTTGTATTTTAAAAGTAAAATATTTTCAAATTAAATTTAATATTTATGCCAAATTAATTTTACATATATAAATAAAAACTAATTAATGTTTTAAAATTAGCTTTAAATATTCTTAAAAAAGACTAGTTATGGCCTAAATATCTTACTTGAATATTTCTATTAAGCTATTGTTTAGTATATGAATTTAATTAAATTCCATTTATTAAATTAGTAAATTAGCCGAGCAATATTACTGAAAATGAGAATAGCCAAATTTGCAAATTTAATTATTGTGATTTACACTTTAGTTATTATATAAATTTAATTATTTCTATAATATTTTATATTATAAACTATTTTAAACTTTATTTTTATATTTATCAATTACAGGATATCATATATTTTTTTATTATAATTTTATTAAATTTTACATATAAAAATTTTTTATATACTTTTACATTTATTTATAAAAATATAGATTTATTGTTTATCAATCTGGAATTTGATAGCTTTTCTGAATGGTTATATTTGGAAACCTCTCCTGCCAGTGGTTAACTGTTTCAAAATCAATCTGGCCACAGAAGGACACGTCCAGTAACTTCAGCTTTTTACAATCCGTCAATATCCTATAAATTTCAGTATGAAAAATACAATTAAAAAATTTATTTAAGCAGAAAAATATGTTATTTTTAATATTAAAATTAAGTTAAAAACTTAAAATATTTACATTTGTTGATTAATAAATTAGTAAATAATTATTGTTTAAGATCCTTATCATTCATACAATTATTGTAAGAGAATAATCTTATATATTCAGTATCTTAATGCAACATTTATCATATTACTTGTAATATTAGTAAAAACTGAAGTACATTTTATAAAAAAAAAGTTACTATTACCTTAATATTCCTTCTTTAGTTATTTCTCTCACACCTAATAGATCAAGTTGCTCTAAATATTTCAAGTGATTTGCAATAGTTACCAGATCAAAATCAGACACTGTACTGTAAATAAATATAATTTCTTTGAAATTAGTTAAATTTATAATAAGAAAAATATTTTAATACCATTTTAAAGTTATTGCTTTTACCGTATTGTCGTAAGAATCACTCTCTTCAATTCGGTGCATTTATGAAACAGATCTCTCAAACAGCCTGAACTTGCATCTATTGAATTACTAAAATAAAAATATTTAAAAATGCAATATAATATCTTATAATTTAAATTTATTAATCTTTTGATTTAATCTACTAATGCCACAAATGCAAATAGTAATTGTTTTTTCTTAATTCCTTAACAATAATTTTTTTTCAAATGTTATAAAATCATTACATCTATTTTTTTTATGTAATAACAGACAATAATAACATATAACTCAATGCTAAACTGCTCTATCCTACGTTAAATCAGTAGTTATAGATTACATTGTAACATTAATAATTTGACAAATTAGCAACAACAATTGATACACATTATAGATGTATAGAATAACATAATGCACTGTATTTGCTACATATATTATATATAATTTATTATCAGCAAGTAGTTGTTCTCAATTTCAACAAAAAACTGTTTGTAGTTTATAAATTTAATTTTATTTTCATTTCAATTTATAAAAAGTAAATGAAAAACTGGGACTGTTATTATATTTGATATTAAATCATAATTGTTAATGTCATATAAAATGTAAAATATTACATAACAATAATATTTTTAAAACAAATTTAATGAATTATTAATATTTATCTTCTGTCTATTATTCTTAAAAATATATTAATAATTTTATAATTTTATATTAATTGATTACTAATATAATTTATTAATTTTATATTAATAATCAATTATTCTGAGTTATGTCAAATCTACAATCTATTCAATAATTAAACACATCATAAATATGCAGATCCATTTTTATGTAATTTATATATAAAATATCAAATTTTAATATCTAAGAAAACTTACATTTTATAGACAAACTCTATAATAATATTTATTTATTTTCTTCAAAAAATATTCTTTGAGAGGAATAACATAAACCTGTAATATTTTGAAGTTCAAATTCTGTTTGTATTTCTTCTGAAATTTTGAATCAAACTATGAAAAATTTAAAATTAAATTTTTCAAAGGCCAAGAAAATATAATTTATCTATAAAAATATCTATTTTTAATACATAAAATATATGTAACTCTATAGAAAATGGAAAAATAAATTTTGGAAGTGCTTTAGAAAGATAAATAATTTAAATTTTTATAAATTTAGTTTGATTATTTGACAAATAAATTTTCTAATGGACGAGGAGAAGAAAAAATTTTTATTAAACAACTTAGTGAATTGAAAAATACTAAAGCAGTGCCAGTCATACAAAAATTTACTTGTAATCACTCTTAATAATTCACTTTTAAATTACAATGATGAGTTAGAACTTTTCTTCTATTTGTGCTTTCTAAAACAATTTTATTTAACATAGAGGTATGAATTTTTAATATTTAAATTATGCAATTTCATGCTCACCAGAGATTATGTTAACCATTCACAATAGAAATTACAATATAAAAGTATCTATTTACATAGTTAATGAAGTCAAATTCTTGGGAGTAATATTTACTCCTAATCTTTCATTTGATAAACACTATAACAGATCAATAAATAAGGCTAACAATTTAATAAATAATTTAATCATACTATTTTGTAAGACCAAAATGAGGAATCTACAAATACATTTCCAACTCTTCAATACTATCATTATGAATTCGTTGGGTTATGTGTCGCCAATTTGGAGTTTAAGTAAATTCAACAATTTCGAAAAAGTACAAAACAGATTTATACATAGAATTTTTCAACTAGAACATAATACTCCAGGAAGCTCTCTAAGACTGGAATTGAATAGATATAAACTAAACACCATTTTAATGAAAAGATATATTAAATTTCTAATAAAAGTTATTGATGCAGGAGACCTAACTACGAACTTGCTGTATATATTATACCATAAATCGAGAAATAAAGATTTAAATAGAAATTGGATAATTCAAATAACGAAAATTCTAAACAAATATGGGTTCTCTATGGAACTTTTTATGGAACATACGACCAATAATGAACAACAAAGTAAACTATTAATTCAGAGAGTAATGGAAATATCTATTGTGCAAGATATCGAAGATATACAAAAACGAAAAAACCCATTCTGGTACAAAATAATTTTAAACTACCCAATGAATAATAATTATATGTTCACGAACCTGGCATTTAATGTCAAAAAATTCTTCATACAGCTCAGACTAAATAAAAATGGGATTATTTTCAATGATAAGTTCCTGGATTACTTTCAAACCATATGCCCAAGATGTAATAAATCATTGTCTAAATTCCATATATTCTGTGAATGTGATAAAGTAAACGAAATCAGTCAAAGGTATGATATAAGTATAATAGCCAATTGTTCCAACGAATCTGAGATGTATAAGATCCTTGATAGAGCAAATATTAATACTATTTTTAAAATATATAACTATATGAACCATTTTTTAAAATAAATTGTGATTAATATCTTATGTTAATGAAAGTGTGAACTAGTTAGATATAAACTAATTAGTGCAAAGTACTAGAGTTAGTGAAACAATAATATTCTTAAAGGTTTGTTCGCGAAAGATGTTTGATATATTGTAAATATATGTTATAAAAAAACTAAGTTAAAACTTTAAGATATATAATGAGTATTTAATAGTTTTGTTCAAAGGTATCTAAACGAATCATTCTGATCTAATATGTTGTATTAACAAACATCGCCCTTGTAACAGGCGAAAGACTTATATGCTTAATAAATTGAATTGAATTGAATAAAAGTATCTATTTACAACAGAATCTTATTTACAACAGAATCTTATTTACAATAGAAAAATCCTACACAAATTAGAGTCACTATTGATTGTTTAGCAAATTATTATTCATATTTGTTTATTTAATAATATATTATTAAAGTAAAATCCTTATCATTTTAAATTATGATTTAAAAAATGAATATATTTAAAGTATATCTTATAAAGGGCATTGAAATGAAAGTCAAATTTCTGTAAATAAAAGATAAAATACCAACATAAGTTTAATATACTGGTTTCTGTAGAAGTCTAAAGCAAAAAATGTTTAAAATCAAATTTCTGTAAGTGAAAAATAGGTCATTTTAGAACTGAAAAAATTTTTGAAATATTTTCAATTTTATAAATTAGGAACTAATGAAAACACATTACACAATTAGAAAAAAGCAAGCCAATGCATTTTCTAGCAACTTTAGCTGAATTTGTAAAAATAGAAATTGAGATTATCTATTAAACAAATTTTTACTTAAATATAGTAGAGGAGAAATTAAAACATGTTTTAACTTCTCCTCTACTATATTTAAATGTTTTAACAACTGTAGATGGATAAGCAATAATCAACTGTAAAAAAATAAAGTGATAATGTCTTCACTTTAATAGACTGTTCAAAAAATGATTAATATACAATTAAAGATAATGTTTAGTAATTGTTTGGAGTGCTCTTTCTTTTTAAATTTATTTAAATGTAATCTTTCAGTAATTGTCTTGCATGAGAAAGAGAGCTTACTATTATTTAGCATTCTAACTAATGTTCTAAATGCAGAATCACTATATAACTATTAAACTATATAACACTATATATATATAGTGTTATATAGTTTAAAAATTTCTTTATTTAATATAATAGTTACATGCTTTTCTACATTATATAATATATAATTTACAGTTAAGAAAAGAAAATCATCATAACATTAAATAAAATCATTTTTAAGTTAGCTTTTTTCAATATATAATAAAACTGAGGTATTTTTGAAAAGACAGAAATAGTACTATTAATGGTCTTTATGTCATTAGGAAATGGATACCAGTAAGATTTAATGAAAGAACAAATCAATACATGCGGAATGAAACAAACTTAAAATATAATGCATTTTACTGAAATAAAATCACTTTATAACTTTAAAATAATTATTAAAAAACAATTATAGAATTATAATTATCTGTTTAGAAATTGGAAATAAAATTATAAGTATAAACCATAAGATCTAAACATATTACACATACTGAATAACAAGAAAATTGAATTTATTAAATGACTATGGAGACTGTAATGCTTTAATAGGATATACTTTCTTAGAAATGCAAAATAAGAGAATGAAATAAACAGTTTCAGGTGTTTCTGAAATGTTGTTATATAAGAAAATTTATTCATATTCAAATTCTATTCTAAATTATAATTTTTTTTTAAATATGGGATAAATTTTCTTTATTATTTTAGAATATTATATTTAGCAAAATACTCACCACCAGCCAATATCAATCTCATTTAGCAGAAGACAATGATTAGCTAATAAATATATTCCAACAGAACTTAATGTTTTTGCTCTCCATAAATCAAGACTTTTCAAATTCCTAAATTTAAAATTTCAATTAATTTAAATAAATTTTAGTAAAATTAGAATTTAGTAAGCAAAAATAATATGACTTTAATAATTATAATCATAAGAATCTTATGAGAAAAATGTTTTAGTATAGTAAAATACAAACTTAATTCTTAACTAGTGATAGTAATTTCTTATTTTCCTTTAATACATTAGAGATTTTTCTACAATAACCTTAAAAGTTATTTATAATTAATTAATAACAGCTGCTTTATCATTACAAAGCATTATTCTATCAGAAAAAATATATTATAATATTTATCAATGTTATTCTTCGACTGATGTAAGTTATGATAAAAATTGATGAAATGCAAATTATGAAGAATATAAAAATTTAACTGTCTGAATACCAGTATCTGAGAGACATCTGCTACATCTGTAAGCATTAAAACCAATTTTAATACNTTAATAGAATAATTCTGAACGATTATAAATGATTCTAGAAAGATTCAATTACAAAACCTAATAAAACTGAAATAATAAAACAGTTCATTGTAGACCATATGGGAAATAATGTCTATAATGATTTAATATGTATAGTTTTTTAAAAGCTAAAAAATTCCACAAAATAAACAGAAAACCATTTAATGCATTTATTCTAATGCATTGATTAATAATTAAGAAACAGTATATCCTATTACTCTGTATCATTCATTACTAATTGATAAAGCTATCAGTTTATATTATGTTATCATATTATTAATAAATGGTAATCATCTTATAATTTTTTACACGTATTTCAATCCTAAAGTAAATTAATTTATAACTATTTTCCAAGATAACAAACTAGATCAGTGATTCTCAGTTATTCAAGTTGCAGACCACTCAAACAGATTCACGGATAAACAATGCACCTATGCCATGTTCATACTCTTATCCTGTAAAATAGACATGATATTAAGGTACATCTTAGATGTACCTTAATATCATGTCTATTTTACAAACTAATGTAAGAGATATGTAATGCATTAAAATGTTCTTTTCTCTGGCTAAACAACATAGAATTGCATTTGAAGAATCCATTATCTATTTCTTGATGTTTTTTGTTTCTGCCTATTTAATATCAAATAACTACTTTGTTAAATGCATATTCCCATTCTTATAATACATCAAACTCACATAAAACTTGATTCAAAATCCAATTAACCTAATGAAAAATTCAAATAATATTTAGAATTGAAAACATTGCATCACTTCTAAAAATACTGTAACATGATTTTAAGATTAGAAAAACAGGAAAATATATATTCAAAAATGCTTAGAAAAAGATTCTCTTGAGAAATCAAATTAACAATAATATTCTAAATGTTAAATATAATAAAAAGCATTTAGGAAAAACATTAAAAATAAAATATTAAAATTTCTGCAGAAAACAAGAAACAAAGTTTGATTCTTCTGTTATCTTTAGAAGAAGTGTATAATAGAGTATGTGATAAATAAAACTCTTCTTTATGATTTAATAATCTAAAATGTATTTAAATATTTTTAAATGTAAAAAAATCAATGTATATATCTAAATATATTGTTAGGAAGTTGGTGAATGTGACTTTTGTCCTTGTAATCGTCGTGCACTTTCCTCTGCTATGTGAGGGGTGAGTTGAGTTATGTAAACTCTGCCAAGGGAAGTGGTACTTGGGTTCTGACTTTAGTTGGTCTTGAACGCGTGTTGTGCTCTAACGTACATTCTTTTTTAGTCTTCTCTTTCTTTGTCTTACCTCAACACCACCCTTCACGATATCCATATTCTGACGTATATAATGTAAATACAGTAGAGCGTCGTTCATCCGAATCAATTCAAGACTGGGGTTGTTCAGAAAATCAATATTTCAAATAACCGATTATGTACGAAAAAATATATTAACCTATCACATGTTGAAATTTTTCTCTGTTGCATGTCGCTTCAATATTGAATTTTCGCTGATGTTAGCCTAACAAAGACTATTGTATTGTTAAAAATTATTTTTTTATTTTGTACAAACAAAATAAATATATTGAAAAATATAAAAACAAAAAAACTATACTTCAGAAGTTAATTTAGTATCAAAAACGTAATATATTTGAGTAGCCCAAGACATAGCCAAAGATTGCAGCACCACAGCACTGGCNTATTCCAATAATAGAATGTTTATCAATGAGAGTTCTGTACAAATCTAAATGTCGAAGTTCGACCAATCTTGATATCTGCATAAATCCAAGTTGATCTAAACTTCTTTGTCTGCAGCTACAAATCTGAAATTCTATTTTAAGAAGTATTAGTATATTATAAAGTAATCAGAAATAAAATATAGTATCAAACTTACCATGCAAATAAGGACAAAAATCAGCTATTGCTTTCATGCAGTCATTATTAACAAATGAACAGTTTGATAAATAAAGAAATTTTAGAAATTGCCCACAATTTTCTAAAAATCTGATAAGAAAATAATTTTGTAAATATACTTAAATTTATTAACTTCTAGAAATAATATTAGATTATTTAATAATTATATATGTAAATTAATTAAGAAAATGAACAATTTTTTCGTGATACGAATAATTTATCTTATGAACCATAGTTGATAATTATATATCATGAAGCAATTTAAGTGATAAACAAATTCTTTTGCAATATTTAAAATCAATACTTACTGAATAAAACTAGCAGGATTCAATTTTCCTTTATTGCCACACCAAGAAAGATTTAAATACTGAAGTGATAAACATCTGTTTTTAAGTCCATAAAGCATATCTGATGTTACCTAATTATTAATATTAAAATTGATATTTAATTCAATTATATGGGAATGTTTAGAGCATTTAAATTTTTGATTATCCTATCCAGTTATATTTGTTTAAAGATGTTTCACTATATTTCAAAAGTAAGTGAATCAGATGAAATTCATGAATTATACATGCAATTAGCAATTGTTATAATAATATATTTATTTTACAGTAAAATTAGCATCTTCAATCTGGTTTTACTGTTTAAGGTTCTATTACTAATATAATATAAATGTGTGTGTGAATTCCTTTTAACTCCTGCAATTTTTGTCCAATCCAGATGAAAGTTTGGTTATATATGTTTTAAGTTCTGACGGAAAGTATAGACTACTTATTTTCAAAAATATTAGCTAAAGAATAAACATTTCATTGATTTGGAATCGGTGATCGCACTTATGTTGTAGTGACATCAGTGACCTCATTTAGTTCAAGTTTGATGAAGGAATTTCCCTTAAGCTGCATTTTTAAATATTTTGGCAAATGACCTATTTTAAACTTACTTCATTAAATTTAAAATTCAAACTTTAAAAAGAGATAGTTGTAAAAATCTTTCCACAGTGACCACGTGACATTCTTCTATACAATTGGAAGTAACAATTTAATCACCCATTATTTAGAAAGTGTCATTGCTCATCTTACTAACCTATGTACAATTCATTTTTATTTTATTAACATGGAATTAAAAAGACTTGCTATTTTATATAAAAAAAAAAGCCTAGACAAAAGTGTAAGAGTAAAATTGTTTAGGAAAATTCTAGATCTAAAAGAATAAGAACTGAGATCCCTAAAGGTTATGAAGTCTGACTTGAGCAACATCAAATAAGAATGGTTTTGTCAAGAGCTGCTGAAATAGCATCACAACATCAAGCTCAAATATAAACTACTTAATTTATAGAAATATTAGCAACTATTTTTGAATTTCTTGAAATATCTACTCTTCTCAATTCTTCAATCTCTACTTTCTCATAAAAAGTATTCTATCATGCTTCACGGGAGAATTTCTAGTATAGCATGTTATTCATAAACTTTTCAATAATTTTATTTTTATTTCATGTTATTCTACTGTTTTCATGATTACAGAATGTTACATATTTATTAATATTATTGTGTTAATTAGATCACAGTCTCTACAGCATTATGGTTTAATAAATTTATTATAGTAAATTTAATAGTTTATTATTATTATTATTATTGATCTGACTATTAATTTTACATAACAAAATCATCAATTTCATTGCAATATTAACTAACATTGTAAATTGTTTTTAATAATATAGTAATTATTTTGTAATTTTGAATAATTTAGCTTTAAAAAATTTAACATAAAAATGTTTATTGCATTATTTTATTTTATTTTCATTCTTTTTTTTGGCTTATACCTACTTTATAACAAACATCCACCTATATAATTTTAAAATAACTAAAAATCTAAACATTTATAATATACACTTTTATGATTAAAAAATAGTCCAAGTATCATAAAGTTATAATTAAGATAATTAAGTTTCAAGCAATTATATTAAAAAATTTAACAAAAGTTAACTACCTTGTTCCAATATAATTTTAACTCTAAGCCAGTATATAGAGTTGGATCATAGCAATGTTTATAAAATAATCTGTAATATTATTAAAATAGCTTATTAAATTTTCAAAATATTTATAAAATATTGTATTAGTTATATTTTATAGTTTTTATTGTATTTTATTTTAAGTTTGTTTATAGTTTAATTCATTTTAATGATGTGAGAAAAGATATAACTTCCTTCTGATAAACTTCAACAGAAATATATTTTATAAATATAAAACTTCTATTTTACAACATGTATTCTGATAAATTATTATAAAAAAATAATTTATTGCATAGAGTTTTTGCTTTTCATAATAGTTAAAAAATTATTACTATTGATAATTCATATTAATATAATTAAACTAACCATACCTTGAAACTCTTGCAGCTATACATAAAGACATTAAATCTAAGTAACTTAAAATTACATTAAAGACCTCACTCTGGAAATAAAAATGATAATAATTAGTGTATAAATAAATTATAATGTATAAATTGATCAAATTATATTACAGGAAATCTTTGTTAATTCAAACTTTAGTAATTTTAAATCCCATCAGTTTGTAACCATACTTTTGTCCTGGCCAGGGATACAGAGATTTACACGTTAAGGAATTTGGTTAGTTCAAAATTCAAAATGAAAATTCTATCCAAACTGTGATATGTATATGCTAACTGGTTCATTTAGATCAAAGTGCCTCCATGCTATAAGAGAACAGACTGAGAACAACTCTAATCTGGTTAATATGGCTTTGCTTTTACAATAACACATTTTTGGTTGTCACATTACCCATGGAATACCCTTTTTTTTCTTATCTCATAAAATATGAATGGTTTTTGGATGGCAATATTGGGCTACTAGTAGCAGATTGAGATATTTGAATAGCTTTAGGCTATTATGTTTGGGCATCTTAGTATTTTTGGACCACTTTAAAAATAATTTGGGCTACATTTCAAAGAATTCTGCTTTACTTTTTATAAAACGTATCTGGCAACCTGCGAGGTTCTCACCGAGTACATGCTGTTTACCTTTACATTTATATTATTATTAATTAACAAAAATAGTGTTCTATATAAGTATCTGTTTGCTTAATAAATTACATCAGTTACATGGTATTTGGCATATTATACAAAAATATATAAATTTCGGATAATTTGAAATTCAATCATTTGAAGTCACGAATATTTTGTCTCAAATTTTGAGAATTTCCTGTAATTACTTTTTGAAAATATAAAAGACAACTAAGTAAAAATATGTATTATTAAATTTAATTTTTATTCTTACAGATAAAATAAAGAAAAACTATTTTAAAATTAATAATAATAACTTTTATCATTTTATTTATATTAATGATAATTTTATCAATATAAGTAGAATAAACTTTGCTGACTCTCAATAATATGCAATAATATAAAAAATTTGAATAAGTTAATTTCTGTTTATATCACATATATTAAATTCATTTAACATGTTTTAAGATAAAACTGATAATAGGTTATTACTCTATTTCATTACTTTGATATAACAATTTTACAAGATATTTCAGTTATTAATAGATAATTATAAATCTCCAATACATTAGACATAATAAGTGAGATAAGATAATCACCATTGAAAACGATTTATACATATATTTTCTTTATCCTTCATTTATGCTATTATATTACAAAAACAATCATAAATAATGTTTTTTGTAGTTATTGTTCATTCAATTTAACTGTGTTTATGTTATTAAATTTACAATACAAAACTATACATCTATTGACAAAAATAAAACAGAAACTTACAGGTAAAAGATCAAAATATCCATTTGCTAATGCTTTATATTCTTTAATAGCTTTTAAACTAACTTTTTCAAATGTTTCTGCAAGACCAATTTCTTCATTTGCATTTAAATTAGATTCACTTTGAAGGATATATTGAAATGAAAATAGAAGAGATTTTCCAGTAAGTGATATGGCATCCAATTCATAATAATATTTTAGATGCGCATGATAAAATTCCAATCGATATAAACTGAAATAAATAAATAAATAAACAAACAATTATTATGTTTTAAAATTTATAAATGTGATAAAAAATAAATTATGTATCATAGATCATAAAATCTCAGTTCATAATTTAAATATATTAATATCTCCTGGTTTGAAAAATATTTAGTAATCAAATTTAATAATTATTAAAGCTAATTAAAAATGGTTTAAATGATTTTAATTATTATATATTCCCTAGACAATTTATTATGACTATTTGTCATTTTTTAACAATTATAAGATTGCAACTCGAACACCAACTATAGTGCCAGTAATTGTTTTGCAACTCGAGTTGCAAAACAATTACCCCAGGGTTTCATAAGTACTAAATTACGAGATTAATGCAAATCATAAAAATTTAATATAAACATATATTTAAATTAGAATTTATTTGTTTCATTATATTTTAAATATTTTTATATTTTTAACAACAAAATAATTTTTTTTAAAGATTAAAATTAAATCAATACTTTGATAACTTATATTTGACTTTTATGATTATTCTACTCTATAAAGCATGATTTTATTGCAATTTGTTACCATTATCACCAAGGTTCAAATAATAAATTATTTTTTCTAGTAACTTGATTTTACTGATATTTTCCTTTGATGTTTTTCGTTTTAATAAATCAAATATAGTGAATCATTGAAAATCCAGAATTGGCTGTTGAAAAATGAATATTAAGTATTTCAATAGTAACTTCATAGTTGATGTTCTTTTAACTTGTGTTCTTTCAGATATAAATTGTTGATTTACTAATATTTATTCAGAATTTATAATTTTTTTAATTTTAAAATTATGATTAGTGTATTTTTTGTTTAAATACAGTGATTCTGTAAGTTATATTTGGAATTTTTTAAATATTCCTACATTTCTTGCAAAATACTTGCTTGCACTTAGAACAACTAAACTTGAATTACAGTATTTAAAATGCTAATTTATTAATATATGTATTATTTGAAAATCCAGGTGGATCAGCCCCAATTAATCTGGATTTTTGACATTTAAGTGTATTTTTTTTTAAGGATCTAAGTCAGAAAATCTTCTTAACTAGTCCTACAAAGAATTGTTGGACTTGTTCCCTTTAGTATTCTTTTAGACTAATTTTAAAACTGATTTTTAAAAAAATATTTTAATATATACTCTATTGATCTTTTTCATGATTCAAATAGAATTACAAGAATTGCTAAACTTGTTCCTTTTTCAAGTCCAATTTTCCTATTATCTACTTTCATTTTTATCTATTTTTAGAGATCTGTGAAAGTTCTCTGTTAAACCTCATGTTTAATATATTCAACCATTTGATGGGTGCACCATCTATATATATATAACCCATTCAACGGGTGTCTGTCCCGTAACCGTTTGATAACGGACACTAGAGGCACCCCTATCGTGTGTCATATTTCAAACATTCAAATTAACAATTTTAATTCTTATTTAAATTAACAATATAAATTTTTATTATTCATTTGGCCAATAAATTATTATTTGGTCAATATAACAATATAAATAATTCAGTATATTTGTAATAGGAATTTATTATTTCAGGGGCTTATATCTCTCGAAGGGTCGCGAGTAGGGGTATGGTTCCTTTGACTTTATTGTTAGTACAGGGGTCTACGGTTTGGGGGGTTGCCACCTCTTCATTCGGAGGGTAAATCTTACCATTCGGACTTTAACAGAGCTGTAGAGCATATTGATAGGAACAAAAAAGTTAAAGGAACCGTGCCTCATGGAAATTTGTAAAGAACGCCCACTAGGGGGCATCCCGAGCTACTAGTCTTATATAAACAGTTTCTATTCTTTTGCAAAAAACCATCTTCAGAAAGTGGAAAAATTCATAGCCAGCAACAATAAGTTATTAGGAAACTGTAAGTAGTCTTATTAATGAAATCTATAAAATCTAAACTTTCTCCTATGGAAATTTATGAATAAAAATATTATGATATATACGATTTTTAAAAATAAATAATCTTAAGTTATTTTTCTATTAATTTTGAGATGCTGAAATAAAATTATATACTGTAATACAAGTAAAATTAACTTCATAGCAACTGATTCACTATTTCACTTAAAAGATTATGCTATATTTTTTTACTTTATTTTTAATACCTGAAAAATAAAGTAATATTTATTTTTAAAAAGTATAACTTAAAATTTTTAATTTTGCATATGAACTGAATTAAAAAAACTTCAATACTTTAATACTTACTCTGTAGCAAAGTTGACATTTTTTGTTTCAATTTTAAATATCCGAGATTGAGAATGTACTATTTGAGGCAAACTTTTCCAAATAATCTTCCATCTGGAAAATAAAACATAACGAGTTTTAATATACATTCCCAATAAAAAAGTATATAATAATGCCAATAAATTTTGTCATTACACAATCATAGGAAAGAAATAATAGTTTAAATAGTTTAATTTTCAACTACAATAATTATCTCAGATGATATTAATCTTTGAAATTAAAAATATGTCAATATTATAGTAGTTAATTGTTCTCTTTAGTATTCTTTTAGACTAATTTTAAAACAGATTTTTAAAAATATTTTTATATATAATGTATTGATCTTTTTCATGATTCAAATAGAATTACAAGAATTGTTAAACTTGTTCCTTTTCCGAACGAGTTACTCACTTGTCCGTGACTTGTTCAAACATGCAATACAAACGCGCCACGTCTGCGCGATTTTTTGTGACGAGATACACACTTATTGGCCACTTGTTTAAACATGCAATACGAACGCGCCGCGTCTGTGCTTGTTTGTGTTTGCTTCTGTCACACAATCAGTCAGACTGGTAAGCTGTTAACTAGCAATTTTAGCAATTCTTGTGTTTCTTGAAAGGCGTAAGTGCAATATTATTGTCAAAAAGGTAATATTAGTTTTTTTTATTCAAAATTAAGTTTTCCTACAAATTTTTTTAACTTTCAAATTTTTAATCCATAATAGCTTGTCGGAAAAGCAAACAAAAAAACGGAAGGTTGCGGATGAGCACAGGCATTTCCAAGAAAAGTGGAAATTTGATTATTTTTTCACTTTCGTCGAAGATAAAGCTGTATGCTTAATATGCTCAGAGACTGTGTCGACATTAAAAGAATATAACATAAAAAGGCATTACGATACAAAACATGAACAACAATATAAAAACTTAACAGGACAACTCCGGATAGATAAGTTTAATCAAATGGAGAAAAACTTGGGAAAACAACAGGCTATTTTTAAAAATCAAGCTATTTTATCAAATACGGCAGTAAAGGCTAGTTTTGTTGTCAGTCAAATACTGGCAAAAAAAATGAAACCCTTTGCGGATGGAGAGATGATAAAAGAATGTCTGACTGCTGTTGCAGAAATAGCATTTCCTGATAAAATAAATATTATTTCAAACATTAGTTTATCAAGATTCACCATTGCAAGGAGAATTGAAGACTTGTCCGAGAACATAGCAACAACGCTTCGTGAACGCATTGCAAAATTCGAATACTGTTCTTTGGCACTTGATGAGAGTTGCGATATTAGCGATACAGCACAACTGGCTATATTTTTACGTGGTATTGACACCAAATTTAATATTACCGAAGAATTGTGTTCACTGATTCCAATGCAAGGGACTACAACCGGCAAAGACCTGTACGATGAACTAAAGTCTGTGTTGGAAAATTTTTCAATTTCATTAGAAAAGATTATTGGTATATCGACAGATGGAGCACGAGCAATGTCAAGCATGGAGGTAGGAGTATCGGGAAGGCTATTTCAAGACATTAAGAAGGTCACAGGAAGGGAAATATTCGTTAACCACTGCATAATTCACCAGGAAAATTTGTGTGCGAAAAGATTGAGTTTGCCAAATGTCACAGTACCAATAATTAAACTAATCAATTTTATAAAGTCGCGCGCGTTAAATCACCGTGAATTTAAAGAATTCCTGAAAGATTTAGAAACTGAATATGGCGACGTGGTTTTTAATACCGAAGTACGTTGGCTTAGTAGAGGTGCAATGCTAAAAAGAGTATACAACTTAAAAAGCGAAATACAATTGTTCTTGGATATGAAGGGATATGCCTTTCCTCATTTTGGTAATAAAGAATGGATGTGCGATTTTGGGTTTCTTATCGACATGACTCAGCATCTCAATGATCTTAATGTGGAACTTCAAGGCAAAGGACAGTTTATTCACAATTTGTATGATAAAATTCAGGGCTTTGAGCGCAAATTAAAATTGTGGAAACAGCATCTTTTGCAGAATAATGTGTCTCACTTTCCACATTTAGAAAAAGAAAACGTTACTACTTCTCAAAAATACGCACAATATATAGACATTTTAATCAACGAATTTCAATTACGATTCCAAATGTTCAAAGCTGAGAAGACAGCGGTTTCCATGAAAATGTTTTCCTCGCCATTTAATATCGATGTGGATACAGTTCCCGAAGACTTTCAAATGGAAGTGATTGACATGCAGAATAATACCGATTTAAAAAATGTATTTTTCTCAGTAAACATCGAAAATTTTTATAAATCTTATGTGAGCCCTGAGAAATTTCCGCTTTTGACGAAAAATGCAAAGCAAATGATGTCTCTGTTCGGAAGTACGTATGTTTGCGAACAATTATTTTCAACCATGAAATTAATCAAAAATGACCACCGATCAAGACTGAGTGATGCACGATTAGAAAGCTGCGTACGTGTAGCTACCTCATCAATTCCGGCTGATATTGATCAGCTTGTATCGAAAAAACAGTGCCAAATTTCTCATTAAAAATTTCAAGTAAATTCGTTTTTCTGTTCTTTTCTTGTTTGTTTTTATTTTGCATTAAAATTTGTATATGAAATCTTTACTTTTTTTAAATTTTATATTTTTTTATTGTAATGTTTATTATAAATAAAGTTTTGTAAATTATTAATAAGTGTTACTTTATGTGCGGCCTGCCAAAAAATTTTAAAATTTAAATTGGCCCGTTGATTAAAAAGGTTGCTCACCCCCGACATACACCATTATTACTTGATGTTGGTTTTAAAACTGTCTTTAGTGTTAATAGTTTTTCAAACCAAGGAAAATAACAAATTTGTTAAAAGAAGTCATATATTCTTCACAAATACTTTTAATAACTTCAGAATTCATCTGACATTTACAATAAATGTTATCAAAAGTATTTATGGAGAATATATGATTTATTTTAACAAGTTTGTTAATTTCATTGGTTTAAAGAACTATTAACAATGAAAAACAGTCTTAAAATCCACATCAAGTTATTTAACACATTGCATAGCTTTATACTTGTTCTTTACACCTCTTATAAAGCTTTAAATTATTCTACATTCTTTTAAAGTAGATTTATCAGATTAACTGGAAAAAAAGAATGTCTATTATTGCCAAAAATCCATTAAATTTAACGTATTTTAAAAATATATATGAATAATGAACTTACAATGTACAGGATGAATTAAAATGTACATTAATCATTTTATACTCATTGATTCATTAGCTCAACCTTTTAGCATGTTATATTTGTGATTAACAAAAACAAAACTCCAAGTTTTTCTTTTAGAATAAAAATAGTTTGTCCATTAAATTGAAGGTCCAACAAATTTTAGGAAATTTTATCTTATGTTTCATCTGTATATATAAAACACACTTAAAATTACTTGTTGATTTGCTTATAACAAATTTTTGAACTGAAAAATTGCAATTATATTTTATTGATATATTTGACCCTTACTCTCCTTTGTAGTGACTCCCAAATTCTACATATATATTTAAATATATTTTTTAAAAGAAATACAAATTATATATTTATATATTTATAATGAATATATGTATTAATTTATTATATAAATACAATAAATAAATTTATTTGTATGTAAATCTATATACTAATATATAAAATAAAAATGTTTTTTTGTTTGTTTGCTGGAGGTAAGCTCAGAATCAACTAAACCAATTTTTAAAATTCTTTTGCTATTGTAAAGTTTATTCCTTCCAGATAAACATAGGCTATATATTATTTTCATATTAAAGAAGGAAAATGCATGAGAAAGGTGTTTTACCGTGGCATTTGTTTTGCATTGTTGTATCATCATTTACCTGTTCTGTTCAAAGTTAATCACTGTCATCACCTGGTGGGCTTTTTAAAACTTATTACCTTATCTATTTGGTATTGGAGTACTCTATGGGAAACATGGAATACTATAAAACTTGGATCCCTAACTCCTCCTCTCTTATTTCATCCTGCTATTCTCAAACTCCCAAACCTTTTGAGTGATCTGGACAAATTTTGAATATTTACTCTCTACAATCCTCCAAAAAAATATATGCTGCTTTAAAATACAGACTGCACTCCTTTTCCTTGATGCAGCAGATGGAATTGTAGACGTCTACTGCATCACATTTCACCAACAGTGGATCTGACACGGTGGTACCATGCATTGGCCTGCTCAGTCACCAGACTTATCATATCTTGATTTTTATTTCTGGGGCATATGAAAACACTGGTTTATGACACCCCATTGACAATGCTGAGAAGCTGGTTGCAAGAATCACAGTAGCTGCCAGAGAAATTCGAGATGAGCCTGGATTATTCCAGAATGTAGATGTGAGGTCTGCATTGCAGTCAGTGGAAGAAACTTCGAACACTTTCTTTGACTCATGTTCCTTTTGTTTTTGTACATTTATTATTAAAACGAATATTCATTTATGGTCTTCTTCTTTATGATGTTTCTGTGTACATCGTCGCTTCAGGAAAGCATTTCCAACCCTGCATTGCTATATGATTCTGAGTCGTCGGGATGCACTCTACCCCTCTTAGAAGTTCTGAAACATTTAACTGAGACACTCTGTATATTTATATATATTTTATATTATTATCTTGTAACCTTTCTAAGAATTCAAACTTTCAATCATATTTTTGTTTGTTTTCATTAAAAAAAACTATTATTAAAGTATCTTAATGCAACATGGTAACAAAATCTTAAATAATAACAGTTTATTTACAGCATATTATATGCAATTTTTCAGAGTTAACATGATCTATTTTTCAATATTTCTATATGCCAAAGTTGATTTAAGTATATTTAGATTTTATTTAGTATTTAAGTATTATTTAGAAAAAATGAATACTTATAAAATATTCAGTAATCTATTTAAATTATTAAATATTTTTTTAATCAAAATACTGTATATTCTTACAAACATCAAACTTTTAATTGTAAGATTAAATATTTCTCACATGATTAAATAATCAGTTCTAGTAATTCTTAAAANACATACATAGGGACCACCAACACGCAATGGAGTAATCCCTAAATAATCAGTTCTAGTAATTCTTAAAAATGTATTTAGCTACTTTTAAGTTCAGTGAAAATAATTAATTGTTAATTAAATTGTTGTTAATAATTAAAATGTTTAATTATTAGTAAAAATAAAAAAATGTAATATAGACAAATAAATAATACAAACTCTGCACTTCCGTAGCTATATGCAAGCACTTTAACAACTGCACCAGGATTATAAGTTTCATAAATGTTCAGTTCTAATGGATATACTTTCTCTTTAAATCTGACTTCTGAAAATAAAAAGATAAAATTAGTCAAAAATTAAACAACAGCAATTAAATGAATTCAACAAAATTATAATTATTTTTTATCTTCAACAATTTAAACCATTATCATCATACTGAATTTCAGAACCATTAAACATTTCTTCAGAGCTTGAGAAATTATTTACACTAAATTTCTTGTGGAGGCATATCATGGTATTACCAGTAATTTAATTTCAAATTCATTCTGTAGTCTAAGAATAAATTCTGTTGTGAAAAAAAATCACTCAAAAACCAGATATTTATCAGTTATACAATAGAACTGATTATTCAAAGTAATGTGGACCAATGCTACCTTGGATGGCTGACAACTCAGATAAAACAGAGATCATGTAATCATTTCAAACTTTCTTTTATGAAAAACTGTATAGGAAAAGTAATGCATTCAGAAAGATTTGCCTTAGACAATGCAGTGTCTCTGTTAATCAGTGTTCTACTGTATATTAAAAAAAATAAACATTCTAATTACAATCAAAATTCTTAACATTATTTTGTAGATTTGATCTTTATTCTGTATTAATGGCTAAAGCTATGTATGCATTCTATCCTGAATACAAACATGTATTTAATGGAGTTTTGAATTATTGAAACAATAGATTTTGCAAAAACTGTCCAAAATAATTAAATGCCAAACAAATTTCTTCCATAAAAATAAAGTTCTCTCTTCGTTGGCAACATGTACAATGTCTGAAAGATCTTGAACAGATGTCTAATAAATCAACAATGTGTACATGGAATTATCAACAGTGTTATAGGGGGGGTCAATTGTATTTAATAAAGTAATATTGAATGCATCACTAGCAGGATTAAATAAGAATATTGCCAAGGTTGAGAACTTTAAGCTTGCATTCAAATACAATCTAATGGTCTTTAGAAATGTCAAAGATAGCATTAATATTCAACAAATTCTGGGAACATAGCATTCTGGTTATACCGTTTCCCTGAAAATTAAGACAGTGTCTTATATTAATTTTTGCTCTCAAAGATGCACTAGGTTTTATTTTCAGGGAATGTCTTATTTTTCAATGAAGAAAAATTCACATTTATTGTTGAACAAAAAATTTCCAACTCAAACTTAGACGAGAGTGACGTATATCCAGTTGTGTCAAACTGAACTTAAATAAAACTGAAGTGAACTTACAACGTTTCTGTGCTGGAGTGGACTTCCCACTCTCGCTTCAACTTAACCTTTTCATAGCGTCGACATAGGGCTCGATGACCAATTATGCTTACTGAACCGTAGCACTATGCAAATGTGATGTGGCGTGATTCCCGGCCAACCAATTAGCGATCCCCAGCCATAACGTTATGCAAATCTGTGATTCCCAAGCCATAGTCTTATGCAAATTATGCTGTGTGGCGTGATTGTCTACTGGCCAATCAGTGGATGTACTTTCAAAACGCCAACGGCTACTTTCAACCATCTATTGATGATCGTTACGAGTAAAAAGAACTTTGCTAGGTCTTACTTTTGGGGGGAGGCCTTATATTTAGCAATTCAGCAAAACCTCTGCTAGGTCTTATTTTCAGAGGATGTCTTATTTCTGGGGAAATACGGTAGATGATTTTAATTATAATTGTGTTATGCTGAGTTGTATTCAATCTCTTTAATTCTGTTTCTGTAAGCCACATATCAAGATAACTGATAAACAGAATTAACCAGATTGGATACAACTCAAGGAAAGGTATTTTTGTTATAGTTTTAACTTGTCAAACAACTAGAGAATGTACTATGGTCTATGGAATAATATAAATTATATCCAAATAAATAATGTAATTTATGTTTGTTCCAAATTAACAAAAAAATACATTAGCTTGTAAATATGATATTTTCAATATTTAATTTTGTAAATGCATTCTGAAAATTTGTGGTTTATTCACCATACAAATATACAGTTAAACCCATCCAAAACAGAACCCAAATGAAAAGAGAACCATCTAAAGGGAAAAAATTCTTCAGAATAGAGCACTTTCTGCGATAATATAAGAACCCATTCAAAACAGAAACCCTCCAAACCAGAAAAAATATTTGTACCATGCAATTCCAGTTTACAGAGGATTTACTGTATATACTATATGACATTCAAGCAAATGGCCGAGATAAAGCTTTAAGCAGGTGCATTTTTGTGCTTATTGAACTTAACCAGTAGAAATCTATGGAAAAATTGTTTTTCTTTTACATACATAGGGACCACCAACACGCAATGGAGTAATCCCGTAGTTTACGTCAATCAATTTATGCAGTAAAACTATATAGATATTTTTAATAAAGATTTAAAAAATTGAAAATTAATACATTTGAACTGGTTTATTATTTATTATGAAGTAAAGAATACTCTCATATAAATATTTAAAAATTTGCAATCAATGTTGACCGAATTACAACAGTATCTACAGAGATAAATTTAGTCTTTATCACGTGATGATTGATAAAAGTAAGTTATACCAAGAAAATCCTGACTTATGACTTCATCTTTTGGAATACAATAAGAAAACGGTTTCTGTAAAGATGCCGAATTTAACCACCAACTTCCATAAGTTCTCTAAAAACAAACAGTAAAAGCATAAATTATTTGAAAAATATAATATTTAAATATGAAAGTATTTTCAGTTTTTCGACCCACCAAAAGAAATGCTTGGGTGTAATCACCGAATTTCGGAAAAATATTCGGTTCACCAACAACATTTAACGCCGTGTAAGAGATGCTACCTTCGCTTCCATACTGAGAACTAAAATCTTTCACTTCTTCTACGTATTGTTCTATGGTAGTCGGTCCGGGATTGTATATAGAAAACAAATTGACAGACATATCCACATATCTACTTGTACACAAACATGCACATCATTTTTGGAACAGTGTTGCCAGACATTTTCCATCAACAAACTGATCCGTAAAAATAGCCAGGAAGTAGCCATCTTCTTGGCGTCTTAATAAATTTATAAATTAATAATATGGATAACCTATATCGTTACTCGAGTCTTGCGAGTTAAATAATTGAGCAGAGCTCTCTTAGCAACGCGTTTAACGTTTGTGCGATGGTTAACTCCACTGAACCGCTTAATGGATTTAAATCATTTTTGCATACAAATAGAATCCATCTCGGTTTTTTTAAAACTCTTTTTGTCCTGTGGGCACTAAGAGCGTCTCTTTTAGCAAACCAATTATGAGTTCGGCCAGGCCCACAATTCTTGGATATTTTTCGACCCGTCTCGGATCCCCGGAGCGGCAGGCTGTCACTTTGACCGCTCGGCTATCCGGCCGTCAAGTCTCTCGGTCCTGACGCAAAAGGCATTTTAAAATTCGATCCGTGACCAGAGATCAAAGTTCACGATGTTACGTCTATGGACGAAGTTGGCGTTAAATCCACGCTTGTCAAACTTTTTCTTTACTGTACAGTACATTGAAATACATTAATTTCTCACGGGTTTTTCTTTTTTTGTTATTTATAATAGACAAATTATAGATTAAATATCCCTAGAAGGTTTCTAAATTAAAATTTAAGCTAAATTCTTTCAAGAATTATGCTAAATTTGAATTGATAGGTTACACTTTGATTTTTGTCTAAAAAATTAAAGCCAATAGAATTTAATTTTTAATGGCGGCGCGATAGTAGCGCTACAGTACGGGGAAATACATAAACCTTCTCTGGAAACGTGGATAAGTAAAGAAGGCAATGACGTATGAAGGCGGGTTTGTCATTTAGCTAATTAGCTTGTTTACTTAGCTGCTAGCAACTTATGCCCACATTCACAATTAAGAATTAAAAATTAAAGGCAGAAATTATCCAATAAGCGTTTATATATTTAAAGCGAAATAATTAGTAATTGGTTAACTTCTGACTCAGACTTTTAGTTCTTAGTTGAAAATAAAAATATAAAATGTATTCTCTGTGTATTATAGATGGCAAATCAATGATATATTGTCCAAAACTGTAGGCCGAATAGCCGAACCGACAAAGGCGTCAGTTTGCCGTTCTGAGAAACCCAGCTTCAAATCGGGATCAAAAGCATCGAGAATTTTTGTGAGCATCTATCGGAGTACGTTGAACTCCATCTTTCATCATCCGGTCATTTTCATTGTGGACCAAATCCGCATTGACGGGTATGACTAAAAAGACCCTCTTAGGACTTGACATGAAAAGAATCGGAAATAGGAGAAAGATCCCAAAATGGTACTGAATATTGAAAAACTTTATCAAGCATGCAACATGTATGATTTCATTTATTTTTAATACATAATATTCGCAAGAATAACTTGATAACTATAGTATTTTTTATTAAAATTCTAAAATACTAAACATCCCCAAAACAATTCATTTCGATGTATATCATTTATATAAATAACATCAACATTATATAATTTTGTTATACAGCTGTCCCTTGATAGTCCGACGTTTTGTAATCCGACAAGCTCAGTAGTCCTACTCACCTCCCGTCAAGCTACCCGTCCCCGTTACGTGTCTGCTTGCACAGAAGCATGTCGCGACGTGAATCTTCCCACCCAATTCTTACACGATGACACACATTTCGTGTGTTTTCCGTGAGCAGTTCTGTTCGAACAGTTGGAATAGGGAATATTGTAGGCTACTGCTAGCAAAACAATGCCAAATATGTAATCACTTTCGATAATCCGGCACAATTTTGGTAATCCGACATCCCTTTGGTCCCATACCTGTCGGATTATCAAGGGACAGCTGTAATTTATATTAATTTCGTTTTTTTTTTTAAATTCTAGTTCTTTTTTTCTTCCTGTTGGCAGTAATACCCTTTTTCCAAGCCTATTACGGGTTTGACCGGCCCACAATGGTGGTCGTGTAAGGAGGGACAGGATCTAACATATTCGGGACAGACCACATCTCAAGTTTCTGACCCGGACTTGAATCCGGACCCCACATCAGCACGCTTGCGTCTTTACCGGGCCTACCAGTGGCCAAGCGGTCTTCGTACCTTGAACACTGGGAGTTCGGTCGTGGTTCGCGCCTAGCTCAGACAGGCTGGCCATGTGAAGTTTTTCGGGTTTTCTCCACGTCTGTAACGCCTTAATAGGAGCCAGTTTCCCTTAAAAAGACCTACCGGAAGGCATCCCCCTAGGCAGATCGCCCAAGTGTTGCGTTGCCATAACCAAACAAACAAACAAGCGTCTTTACCGCCTCAGTTATCCAGCCCTAAATTTAGTTCGGTTATTTATTATCCAATTTTTAAAACAATTTTTTAAATTCATTCTAATTAAAATAAATTTACTTTCTTGAAACAAAGTTATTTTAACTCTGAGACTTATGGCATAAAGTTATGTGTTTTAAAAGTTATCAGCTGACGTGTTGAAAATCTCTTTTTTACATTTATTTCCATTTAAATTTGTATTATTAAGGATTCCATTCAGACACAACGCAATTTCCGGGATGTCAAAAATGCCTATGATGAGTCATTAAGTCATCACAAATGGCTTTGTGGCGTATTCACTTTGCAGTTTATTAACAAGTAGTTACGAGTAGGCCTAATTACGTGAAATTGTGTTGTTCTCTTTATGTTTCTTTGAGAATGTGTGTGTTGTTTACTGGAAACCAAGATTTAAATACTACCGAATTAAATGAAATCTTTATTTGCAAATAACATTTTTCTCATTCATTCCCGATTAGCTAATCGAGAGTCCACTCAATAAACTATTGTATTTTTAAAATTTTCTTACTATATAAGGTTAAAATAATTTAATAGTTTGATTTTAATTAGAGATGAATTTGATTATATAACAAGCTATTTTTTTATAATTTTTAAAAATGTTTTAAATTAAACAACTATATTTAAAAGTATTGACTTTTTGAAATCAAATTTTATAAAGTTAAAGTGATTTTAAAAAGTTTGTTTAACTATCCAATGCTGAAATAGATTTTCTGGTTTTAAAATGCCTAAATTGTATTGATGCAACTTTAAAGTTGTTACATTTACATCCAACGAGTAAGAAATGTGTTCTCTTCTGTGTAAAGATATTACATAGAAGTGAACACATCTAAGAAAAGTTTTGATAAAAAAGATAATATAGTAAGAATTGCAAATATATATATATCTTTACAAATGACCAATCTAGACCAAATTTTTCAGATTTATAGAACTAAAAATCTTTATAACTCTGCGAAAAATATAGGGGTTGCCGTGAAACTCATGATAATTTAAGTTTAATGCAGTTAAATAAGTAAGAAATGCGTAATAATTAATAAAGGTGCCACACAGTCCACATTCTTAGTGATGATTTCAAAGGGTATAGGATCCTCAAGATTTGGAAGCTTTGCAGAAATAACGCTATTGATTTGACTAGGCCTAAATATACCAAACTTAAAATAAAAATTTTAAGTTTAATATTTGTCCTTATTACTTTTCTCCCGAGCGATGCCAGACATATCTATATCTAGAAAAATCTACCAGGACAAAAATTTTACATTTGGGAAAATTGTTGTAATATAATTGAATTTATTTACAAACATGAAGTCTGTATGTGTAACCTATTAAAGTCGTATGTCGTAACTAATTTTTAAGAAACGTTTTTTTTTTTTATTACGTTGGTGATATCTGATAAAAATCTTTTATACCACATTTCCACAAGGAGAGTTAACCTCGATCATGCTTACGAACCCGATTAACTTTTTTCGCTTGAACAGAACGGAGTTAATCCCGATCAATATGTTAACAACTAGGTTATTCAACACTCTTCAACTGAGTTAACCTTCAAGTGGATTAGTGACACGAGTCATAGCATTCCGTATTAGTGGATTAGTTAAGTAACAACTAAAAGAATGGCGACGTGTTAATCTAAATTAAGTTGCATTCTGTATGAACACAGTCTTGACCTATGTTCTATGTATTCCTGATTAACTTAATCATGGTAAATTTTATCCCGATTAACTTTCGTTATGTAAACGTAGTATTAGGGAACCAGTAGTCACAGTGACTTTCGTTTTACTCTTCTTTTTCTAGAAGCGATTTTCCATTGAACAATTTGTATAATCTTTTGTTCTTTATTCAAGTAGCCGGTTCTATGAGTTTAACCAGTTATAATTGCCTACAGGTGTAACTCGCCTAACAATGGTAACTCTATACAACCGATTATAGTTTAATGCTCCAATATAAAGAGGAAATAAATAAATACATTCATTCTAATTAATATTTTTTTAATCCGCATTGACGGGTATGACTAAAAAGACCCTCTTAGGACTTGACATGAAAAGAATCGGAAATAGGAGAAAGATCCCAAAATGGTACTGAATATTGAAAAACTTTATCAAGCATGCAACATGTATGATTTCATTTATTTTTAATACATAATATTCGCAAGAATAACTTGATAACTATAGTATTTTTTATTAAAATTCTAAAATACTAAACATCCCCAAAACAATTCATTTCGATGTATATCATTTATATAAATAACATCAACATTATATAATTTTGTTATACAGCTGTCCCTTGATAGTCCGACGTTTTGTAATCCGACAAGCTCAGTAGTCCTACTCACCTCCCGTCAAGCTACCCGTCCCCGTTACGTGTCTGCTTGCACAGAAGCATGTCGCGACGTGAATCTTCCCACCCAATTCTTACACGATGACACACATTTCGTGTGTTTTCCGTGAGCAGTTCTGTTCGAACAGTTGGAATAGGGAATATTGTAGGCTACTGCTAGCAAAACAATGCCAAATATGTAATCACTTTCGATAATCCGGCACAATTTTGGTAATACGACATNTTCTTTACTATATTATTAATAACTTTTATTTTAAAATACAGTATATAAAAAATTTAAAGATAAAAAGTAAATTTATAAATATATAGCCTATATAAATTGTAAATATAGATAAAGAATCATTGACTTAACAGAAAAATGCAAGTAGGAAAACATATGACTAAATTCGAAGAAGTCGAAACGATAATTTAATAGATAAGTACTTTAAATTTTTTTTTTTGAATGGAAATTTTTACAAGTTTAATTGCTTATAGAAAATTGATAAATTCATATTTAATTTAAAATTACTTACATTTAAAATAAAACGAAAATCTTTTTGTAAAACTTACATTAGAAAAATAAAATTGTATATGCGATAGACTATATAATTAATTCATAGAATAATGATACTTTCGATACGTAAACCTTTCTCGTAGAAATTCTTAAAAGATTTTTAAAAATTTAATTTAGTATTTATTTAGCTATGCTTTTAATTTTTTAAATAATTCTTCTGATAATATCAATACATTTATAATTATCTCTGATAAAAATTGAATGTCTTTATGAATTTATATTTTTATCAGTTCAATAATAATGTGTCGTTAAAATGGATTCTATAGAACAATTTTAAAACCGAACTAACCGGTTTTAAATTCATATTTAAGCAACTTCAATAATCGGTATACTGTATGTATTTACAGGAAATTTTCATTTTCCTTGTTAGGTACAATTAGAGTAAATTCAATTTTATTTCTTAGGTGGTGCTCAACTCTTTCCTCCAATTACAGTACCTGATACTAACATGGAAGTTTGAAGTAATTTCTTTTTCTTGAATTAATTAGTATTAAATATAATCAATTGTAAATTTGTAATATATGTTATCAATATATTTTTAAGGAATATTAAGCTGTTAATATTTATTAAATTATCTATGAGAGTCTTAATATTGTTACTAAATTAAAGTTAATAAGTTTTTGGAATATAAAATTTACAACTTAATCAATTATTGAAACACAAATCCACATGATTTATGAATTATTTAGCGGAAATAATAAATACAAATGATATTAACCAGTTTTAGTTGTAATGTAATGCTAATAGATGGCAGCACTTATTACATATAGTTTTAAACTTTTAAAATTCAATATATTTTTATACTTTTAAACTTTTAAATATGTATTTAAATTGACAAAAACAATACAATGTATTTAAATTTTTATTCTATCAGAAAATTGAAGAAAGAGAATAATGGAAATATAAATTAATGGGGGTTTAATGCTAAATTAATAGAAAGTATAAAAAGTATTAAAAGTGTAGACATTTTAGTAAGTTTATAACTTATTAATATGATCTACACTTAAAATATAAAAGTAAATATCATAAATTATATATTTATTTATATTATACATGTACAGTATAAGAGAAGAGAAACAAAAATTTAATTCTGTATATATTGTAGTCAGAAGAATTTTATTAGTTAAATTAAATTTAAATAAGGAAAAATCTTTATGAAGTGTATAAGATTGCTTGTTAAGGTTATCTTGAAAGCCATAAGAGTGTATTTTGTAGTTAAAATTTATTTTCCATTTTTTTGGGATGTTTGGTGAACATTGACATAAATTATTTTGTCAGACTTATGATAATAGATTTTAACAAGTTATATAATCACCAAGAAAGACTTAATGTTAAAGTATAGAAAATTTCTTTGTATCAGATATTTATACCCTAAATTGTAATTTTTATTAACTATTTGTGTTTGGATTATAAAAATATTTATTTTAATTAACGTTAGTAAAGTAGCCTGCCGGATGGACTAAGGTGGTTAAGGCCGTCTCGCAACCCGACCAACCCATTGTAGGCCTGGCCTTGATAAATAAAGGCTCTCTTGGTGCTTGCAGGGTAGAAAGGTTTTAGTTATGGCAACCCAACACTTGGGCGATCTGCCTAGGGGATGCCTTCCGGTAGGTCTTTTTAAGGGAAACTGGTACCTATTTAGGCGTTACAGACGTGGAAAAGGCCCGGAAAACTCCACATGGCCAGCCCGTCCGAGCAAGGCGCGAATCCACGACCTAACGCCCAGTGTTCAGGGTACGAAGACCGCTCGGCCACTGGTGGTTTTTTTTTTTTTTTATCTCTTTCCTTCTTTACGTTGTATTTATTCATTTTATAGCTTATGTAGTTTTCTCTGTTTCTCCTTGCTTTTTCTTTGCTTATTTCATTCTCAATCCTGCCCTGTGTACTAGCCAACCTTCGGTCAGTGTTCTACAGGCTATGCTTCGCTTGCTCGGCCACTGGTGGGCTCTATTCCGAATGTCTCGTTCGAAAGATAATTGTTTTCTTAGGTAGTGTGTAAAATTTCAGTGTTTTCTATAAATGGGCTACCGAAAATATAAACAATCGACAGTGAAAAAATTTCCAAAAAGGGTTGTATTTTCTTCTTCATCCGGCACTGCAGACTCTCCTAGAGAAAAACTACTAGGTCTAGAAAGCTAAAATTTTAAACTTAAGCCTTTCTCGTTATCTGTGAGATGCTGGCGAAACTTCCTGGTCAATAGGTCAAAGTTTCCCATAGCGATATTTTACTATTCTATAACATTCCATACAGTATCAAGGAAATGTTTCCATTGTTTAATATATTTTTTATCACCCATATTAAAAGTTATATTTCCATCTGATTCACTTTTTCCAACAATCTTCCTTACGTCAATAAATTTTACTTTATATATTAAAATGGAATGGAAATCAATCACTTCAAGTTCCACTTTTCTAAATTGAGTGTTGACAGTATTATACTCTTTTTTCCTAAATTAAATTTCGTTTGAAGTAAAATTATATTAAGAAATTCGGGTTGTTTTGAAATGCCATGAAAATCTCGCCGCATGCATGCAAGTTAGCACTTGTTCCGTTGATTACTGTTCTATTTTATGCTTCCAGTGACATATTCAGGTATCATCGTTATAAGCTTATCGGGAATACATTTACGCATAAAATTGTTTTTAGATAGATCTAAAAAGATGCATATACATGTATTTTTTGATTAAAGGGAGTCAGATATCTCTTCTGTTCTTTTCTGAAACGTTTCTGTCTATTTCAAAAGCTTGCATAACTGTAGCATAGAGGACAAGAGTTTCCGCAAGAGAAGAAGCAAAAATCAATTGGTTGGTTGATTGTACCTTCGTGAGAGTGAATGAAAAATACATGTGAAAAAGAAGCAAAAATCCCAAATACTCTAAAAATCTGTCTTCTAAATACAGCTTCTGCGTATAGTTTTATGAAGAACTAGAGGAATCATCTGGTCGCGCGCGCAGATAGTAATCACTTCAATGTAGAGTAATAAAATTTACAAAATACCACTGCTTTATTAAATTGTTATTCGAAAAAAAGAAGTATGACACACATCTTCGTAGAGGAAATTTTCCGTACGTGATAGGGCAATAAATCTCTTATACCAGATAAATTTTAATTTATTTTTTAAATTTTCAATAATTAAACGTTTAAAATATATAGGCCTAAACCGGGAAGTAGGCGAATATTCAAATTCTTCTTTAGAGAACTTCCAATAGAAGAACCACATATCAGACAACAATGAAAATTACGAAAATTTAATTTTGTACGTAAATGCACTTAATACTTTTCAATTCTCTTCAGTTACAGATTAAAATTTTCGTATATATATATATATCCAACACAAGATTTAAATTATGGGTTTAAGCTATGTAGGAAGCCCTTCTGTACTAAAAAGCGTGAGGCCTTAATTTGTATCCTCGTAGATGAAGCCTAAATTGTACTTATACATCAGAATATATAAGTACAACTTATATATGAAATAAAATAATGTAAATAAATAACTGAATAATTTATTATTTTTTTGAATTGTGTAAAATGTGAAATGTCATTAGTACTGTACATTAAATATTTAGTCATTAATCAAATAAAATTCATTATTCAGTGAATTTTATTTAAATCGTGTAAATATAATTTTTGTTTAAATAAAAATGCAAACTAAAATAGATTTGTTTTTTTAATTTTCTACCACAACAAAAATAAATTCTCTTTTAAAACCCGACAAATTGAAATTCTGATTTGATCGGAATTTTGTTGTGTCGAAAATGTTCTTGTGATAATTTCATGTCGAGATTTTGGCGTTTCGAACAGTGCACCTCAAAACAATGTTGTATTTACATATAAGAACGATAAGCCATAGGGGTAGGGCCTCACCTCAAATTGTTTTCTTATTTGTATGACAATTTTTGAAGGTATGTTCAATCAATGTTTTGGCTTAAGGGTTGTAGTATATATAAATCCAGTCCTACCTTTATTTCCAGTGTTATTTCCACGATGTTTGCGCAGCGATTCATTTTCATTCCAGAAGAGTTTTTTTGCAGTCTTTTTGAAGGATTATAAATCTGAACTTATGTGAACTCTGTTATTCTTGAATACAGTTGATAGGCTACTAAACCTATATTAAATTATAGGTTTTAATTGTGTCCAGGATTAAAGAAAGCCTGCCACTTAACATGAAGCGATAATTATGCAACGCACTTACGACTTGCGTTATTTTTGATTAAAAATAACATTCTTGCAGCATAATGAAAGATATTTCTTTATTAAACTTTCGGTAATTTATATGATAAAAGTATTTAAAAAACGACAGATAAGCCATCTTACGATCTCAGCTGGTATTTAATAAGCCTTGAACCTTTTGGTAACTTTGTTTTTAAATTCTGAAAATTGTAACCCCTTAATTGCTTTCCTAAGAGATACTTCATATCAAATTACAATAACACAAACTAGCAGCATGGGTCTTCAATACATTTGAAAATAATTCATTTAAACCATTGGTTCTCAATCTTTCTGGGTTAATGGCTTACTAATGAACCAGTGCCACATCAAATATGTTGATATAAATGAAAAGTATTGTTGAAGCCAATTTTTAAATAAAAAAAATATATCAGTTATAATAGAAAACAGACAAACAAAAGTTTTAATTTATCAAATTTTTTGAAATTTTGTGGCATTCCTATAAGAAGTTTGCGACACACCGGTTGAGAACTACTGATTTAAGTAATTAATATTTCTGAAATATTTTGAAAAAACAACATATATTATTGAATTTATTTGTTAAACAATGTAAATCTCTAATCGATTTTTCGTTTATGAATTTTTTATTGCAAACAGAAAAAATTTTATTATAATCTATTATAAGAATCTATTATAATCTTTTTGAAAGTCAGTATTTAGCAATGGTTAGCAATAAATTATTTACTTGAAAAGCATTGTTATAATGTTATAATTAACTTAAATTTATAAACATTGCTTTAAATCTACTAAAATTAAAATTTAATACGTAAATTATTAAATATGGAGAATATAAACCATTTAATATATTAATTATTGGAATTGTTTTTATTCATTTACAAGAAAATCAGACGAAAATATTTGAATTTTATATTAATTTATAATCAAAATTTTGTAACTTGGTCCGAACACGGTGCAACTTTATTAAATTTTGCAGCAACGTATTACAATGCGTGCAATCATTCGAGGCAATGTACTGTACAACAAACATGGCTGCGTCCAAAGAAGAAAATACAATGGTTAATAAAAATAAATTAATTAATAAATAAAGGAAAAAATTCGAACATTTCAAAAGACCATTTTTTAGAGGTAAGTGAATTATATCACAGCTTGCATATCCAGGTAATAACTTGGTGTTTACATCTGGACATTGCATTTTAAGTCATACGTCAAATCTTATAGTTTCAAGCTTGACAGCAAATTGCGTATACTTTTATTAACTCTATGCACTTCATCATTTTCTGTAGAAAATCTGAGGAATTCAATAATTTTAGTATGGGAAAAATATGTATATTCTACATAAATTGATTTGAATGCAGTAATTTTATTTATCTCTGTTTACCTCTACGAATGTGAAACATGTTAGACAGATATTTTAGAAAAATTGTACGCGAAATAGTTATGCTCTTATTTTTATTATTATTATAAATTTAATTTTAATCTATTAATTTATTTCTAAGTTAATGGGTGTAGATGAGGATGGCTAACGATAGACAATCATTCGTCATCAGTATTGGCATCGTTCAGCTATTATCATTAACTAGTTTGATTTTGGTTGGTATCTGGACTGGAAAACAACTAGGAGGATTTTCCTGGCAAAGTAACCCCGCTACCGAATTTAATTATCATCCACTTTTTATGGTAATCTTCGTCTATCTTTATGGCAATGGTAAGAAGCAATACTCATTTTAAAAATTGATTTTTTCGTTATTTTAATTTTAAAAAAAATTATATTGTTTAAATAGGAATGTTAATGTATCGTGTAATAAAACGTTATTCGAATATAAAAAGGAAAATTATCCACGCTGTCCATTTTATATTATGCTTTATCTTGGTTGTAATAGCATTGAAAGCGGTTTTTGATTCTCACGATCTGGCTAAAATTCCGAAGAAAAATATGTATACTCTACATAGTTGGATCGGTTTGGGTGCAGTCATTTTATTTTCTGCACAGGTTAGTTTATAAATATCCGAAAATAATATTTGAATACCGAAAATTTAATATTTTAATTATTGTTTTTAGCTTGTTTTTGGCATCACTATGACCCTCCTAAAATATTACGCCATTTATGAAATGAAATCATTTAGATCATTTCATAAATACTTTGGATTGACTATATTTGCCTTATTTGTTGGATCTTGCGTAATTGGAATCAACGAAAAAATTATATTTAAATTGTAAGTATCTCTCCAGTAAAATTCTTCATTGATTGGTATAAATTTGAAGTAATTTTGCATTTATTAATTGTAGTTTAAGCCGATCAGAATGTGTAAATAAAACTGGAGAAATAGGGCTTTTTCGTTTATAAATCGTGGAAAAAAATTATATGTTCGTGAGCATGCAGTCAAAAATTGAATACCAAATTTAATTATTTTTCAATTTAGTTCTATTCTTTATTTAAAACCATGACATTATTTTATCATTTTTCATTGTTTTTCATAAACATAGGATTAAATGTTTTAGTTTAAAGTTAATGGTAAATAAATATATATAAACCAAATAAATAAAAAATAGTAAGTTAAATAAACATGGAAAATTTTATTTTTTAATGTAAAAGTTTTTCATTTTAAATTAGAAAATTGTGTATATTTTAATTTAAAAGACTTTTCTCTTTCTTAGAAAAAATAAAACCAATCCTACAGAAAGATATGATCATCTTCCTCCTCTTGCTCTCACTGGAAACTTTTTAGGAGTTGTTTTAGTTATACAAGCAATGTATGTTAGCTACTTAGTTACCAATTCAAATTACAGGAAACCCGAATCCAGTGATCAATCTTATATTCTGTGATAATTTCCAAACTGAATATGAATGTAAGATACATAATTTGCATTATTGAAAGGAGAAATATTTTTTATAAACATTTTAAATATGAAATTTTTATCAATTTGTAAACTGTTTGATGTTTATACTAAACGGAGATTTATAAAATATATATTTTAAAAGTAATCAAGTTGAAAATTACATGGCAGATATTTTTATGAAGTGTATTCTTTTATTAAAAAATAAATGATTTTCTTATACTTAATTATGGTTAATATTATTTATAATTATTGATATTTTAAATAGTTCAATTAATCTAACACACTTAAACATTAATTAGATTTTTATAAAACATTTTTATTTAAAAAATAATTTTCTATAAATAATGCAAAATTGAATTTCTAGAATTAAGTTTTACTTAACAAATTTATTTTCTAAATTAAATGTTTTTTTGAATTTATATTTAATTAATTATTAACATATTTTAAAGATTTTAATTCATAAAAAGAAAAGTTTAGAATTTAATTAAGTTACTTAATATTTGCATTTTATTAAAACAAATATTTATGTAAGAAGTCAAAATAAACCTTAGATTTGAGAAAAATATTGGATGGATTGATTGATAAACATGTTACTTTGAGAGTAATTGGTTAGAAACTAGAACTTTAATTAATATTACAAAAAGTTAGTACAAAGAAAACAATAAAGTAGCATCAACAGTTAATTAACAAAACTTTAACATTTAATTAATAAAAATTGACTGTTTACATCTGTTATATAACTTTTTATAAATGCTGTATATGATGTTGGTGTTAAATCAATGATTTTTTTCTTCACTTTAAAGTGGATTAAAAAATACTAAGTGTTAATTATAATGAATTATACTTTAAATTGCTTTATAAAAATTAATTTAAGGTAAGAAACTATTAAAAACTGTTAAAGATACTGAAGAAGATTAAAGAATGTTCTTTGCAGATGCAATTTTGTGTGGGTAAATTCTAGTTTCGAGATAAATTAACCGGGATTTTTTCATGTAAAACTATTTAAAAATTTTTTTTAATCATTTGAAAACTGCATATTTAGAAATAATGATAAAAATAGATGTTAGATGTAGCGATAAATCAGTTGTATGTTCATGTTCGTTTATAAATATTAAGAGCATTTGTACAGAATTGATTTCTCTATAAACTCTAATCTAATATATTCTTAATTATTAAACATTTCATTACATATGAGTAAAATGATTGCATTTTACACAAATATAAGTCCTACATATAAAAGAAATCCACCAACGAGTTACTTAACTTTCAGGCAACATTTGGTGGCGCCATCTGTTATCATATTTTATTTTTAAAAATGTTATATTTTTAACTATTATAAAATCGCAAAGCTTAATTTTGAGGGTAGAGAGAAGTTTATAAAAAAAAAAAAAAAAAATTCTAAATGCTAAGAACATGTAAAATCTTCATTTAAGACCGACCCCCACTCGAGATATGATCCCGTTTATCTCCCCATCCCTTGACCTTTAACCATCAAAATTTAATAGCATTAATCCTCCTAATACATAAAACTTTCCTTCAAAAGGTTCCTCGAGTTTAAAAATTAAAAATCTTGGGGGACATTTTTTGATAGATTGACATGCTTTCCCTCTGTTATATATAGCAAAAAGTAAAAAGGAAATTATTATCTTGTTAATGATATTTTTAGTCATTTTCATAATGATTATTATTGTAATTAATGGAAGAATCTTCAATGGTCATTCAGAGGAATTTTTAAGTATAATTGTTGAAATAATTTTCACAATAAGAAAGAGAAAAGAAGATGTAATAAAAACAAATCAATACTTTGCATTATAAATAATAAATGGAGTTATTAACAGAATTTTTAATAGCAACTTTAATCAATGTTGTCTTATTAATTAAATGATTAGTTAAATAATTTGCAAATGAAAATATTACTGATTATTCTTAAAAATTATGTTTCTGAAAATGTAACGTTTCGAAATAAATTCAATTTATTTTATTTGCCACCAAAAGGGAATTTAAATAAATGAGACGTCCACGGTAAGATATAATTTTTCTTAAAATATGTAAGTTGTTAATTTAATATGGTAGACACGAAACAATGCAAATGAAATACCATAAATTAATATGTGATTGTAATTAATAGAGAAAGATTCATTCTTTCAATATCAAGATATTTTCTGTTTGTTTTTATTATTATTATAGAGCTTAGCTACTCGTATACTGTTAAAGTGCCAACTTTGACCCTTAATATCTTCAAGATCAATGAACCGATTTGGATGAAATTTAAAATATTTAGTGCCCATGATGAGTATTATAGACGTTTTAAATTTTGAATAAATTCATTGGATCGTTGTGGACTTATGCAATCCCAAATTTAGCATCTTTTTCATTAGATTTACAAGGATTTCTCCTTGTAAATCTAATGAAAAAGATGCTAAATTTGACACCAAGCTACCAAACAATCTAGGGGTCTACATATGTTAATTAATAGCTCTTTGAGAGCTGACTGCTTTCTAGGTGTTCTTTTGAACGTTTTATTTAAAAATCTTCAATATTTATAAAATAATAGCCCACGTTTTAAAGCTTTGCATATTATTGTGATCGGACAAGATTTTACCCGTTATTAACATTTTCATTTTTTTTTTAAATAAAATTTATCTCTATCTTCAAAATTAAGTATTTTACCGTTTTATAATAATAAATAATATAAAAACTTTTATGATAAAATCTCATAACATATGGCGCCACACATTATTTATTAATAATGTCAATAATAATATAAAAGTTATTTTTTTTAAATACAATCTGATAACAGTCAGGAAAGTAAAAATTTGAAATGATTACAATAGTTTCCCGTGTTATGTTATAATTATATCAATAACAACCGGAAAAGACGGCTGGATGGCCGAACGGTCAAGGTGGCAGCCTACTGCTATGGATGACCTGGGATCGAATCCGAACGGTTTGAAAAGTCTAATAGGCCTCCTCATTGTGGGCCTGGCCGAACCCATAATCAGCTATCTAAAAGAGGCCTTCTTAGTTCCCACAGGGTGGAAAGAATTAAAAAAAAAGCTGGGAAAGTAATATGCAAAATTTTTTATAACAATATTTCATAACAAATGTCGCCATACACAATTTTATTAAAATTAAAAATACAGCATAAGATAAAAGTTATTTATTAACAGCTAGGAAAGTTAAGCAACTTGTTGCTTTCTTTAAATTTTGACATATTATTAGTCTATCAGTTATCACGTGACATGATGTACTGCAGGCTACCAAGTGACTGTCAGGTGAATATAAAATTATAATAAAACCTATTCTATTATGAAGCAATTGATGACTGAAAAATACTTGAAATCTCATAAAAAAGAAAAAAAAAACTGATAGAACCAGGTTAAAGTAAAGTTCAGCACAAACATCTAAATCAGCGTTTCTCAAAGTGGGCGATAACGCCCCCTTGTGGGCACTGGAGGCTTTCAGGGGTGCAGTAGAAGGCTCAAAGAGAATTGGGGGGCGTTAAGGAAATATAGAGGGGCGACGGAAGACAAATTCTATATATAAAAATTCGACGGAATATATATAAAATGTTGACATTTTATATATTTTTTATTTTTTATTGAAGGTCACAACTTGAATATTTCTAACACATTGACTTTTATTTTAGCTCAGCGTTTCTCAAAGTAAGCAATAACGCCCCTTTCTGGCGCGATCTATGATAGAGGCAGGGTATTGAACGGTGACCAAAGGCAAAATTGGGGCTGATAAGAGGAAACATTGCGTTTAATGGTTTTCAGATGATGAGAACAATGTACAGTAAGGGCACAAAGTGTGAGATTCATAGAAAAGTTTTCCTAAGAATATTTCCAATCCTTTTCTCACACAAGAGAAAATGGGTTAGGGGGCGTTGGGTATAACTTTATGGAACAAAGGGGGCGGTGGATCAAAAAAGTTTGAGAATCACTGATCTAAATAAAGGAAACTTTTGAAAGTTGCGGCATAAGAATACCGGAAACAGATTCAACATTAAGACTCAATATCATTAGCCATTCTCAGAAAATTGTATATTAAATTTCACATATATTTCTGCGTAGTTAATATACGATATTAATTCGGATGCATCTCTTTATGCAAACATTATACTGTGTATATATATATATATATTACAATTTTACATTGAATTTTGGAAATGCCTTCAGGCAGTCGATTTTCATCCCTGCTACATAACAAGCCCAAAATAAGATTAAAAAAAAAAAAACAAAGGAAAAAAGCAAACAATGCTACAATACGATACATAAAATACATATACGGCAGAAAAATATTTAGAAATATAAAAATACATATAAAATACAATTTTTTTTTGTATTTTATACAATACAATACACATTTTTTGTATTGTATTTTAAGAATTTTCGTAAATTTTACAAATTTTGTCCTGGCAATTTTTTTATGAAACATATAAAATACATTTTAAAAAAACGTATATTTGGCAGTATTGTGAGCGTATGACTGAACATTAGATTATATATTTTTCTTATATTTGTTTATAATCTTAGACAATGATAATGCATAGTATTTTATTTGATATTTACTGTAACGCCAATTTTATACAATGAATTATGTAATTAGAAGAAACATCACTAATTCCTCGACTTTCATCATTTGAAATCCGATTCGAAATCATGACTTTATAAATATTCTCTCTGATTAAATTGTGAGATTATTTATTTAAAATTTTTATTCCAATATTTTTAATAAAATTATAAATTTTTTACTATTGAATAACAAAATGAATAGAATTTTAGATGAACCATTGCATTCGGATCGTAACTTTTTTATAAGAATCATTTAAGGATTTTCTTATAAATTTTAGCACCGATTTACTTAAAATTACGAAAAAACAACAGATTCATAAGTGACTATACGAAATTTCATTCAACTAGGCGGTTTCACTTCTTTAAATACAAAATTCAAAATTCACTTTTACTGTAAAGTATGAAAAATTAAACTACTTAAACATCAAATTTCTCTCTTAATATTGAATTACAAATTAAATTTTTCTTTTTGTAATTTTAACTAAATATCAAAAATTGGGAAAAATTGTTTGTCTACGAAGTTTACTATTTCCTCGAGTTAATAATGGAATGGAATGCATTTTAAAATTCTTCGGTTCCTGATAACTATACGGGTATAATACTCAAACTT